AATACTGCAATACAATGGACAGAATTTGAAATCTGAGACTTTGTTTCATATTAAAAGTACCAAAGCACAATGCTTATTTTGATTTATTGGATGGGAAGTGCCCTTCAATGTTCCGTCCATTAACTGAAAACAAGCTAGACTAATCGATTCTTGGGATTTAGGAATCGATATCGTTCCGTAAAAATGAGAGTCGATTAATATCGAGATATCGATATTTTTTACCCACGCGTGTAAATGTTTCCAGCATTGCCCTCTCAGAGGATGATGATGATGATGATGATGATGATGTGAAGCTTCCATCTGCTCCTCCTGTGAGTGAAAGTGCTGCAGGTTTGGTGAGGAGATGATGACAGGAGTTGCTTTAGTCTGAAGTCTGTGGCTCGGAGGAAGTGTGGCGCTCCGCTGATTGCTCTCTGAACGTCGAGTCACGTATCCGCCGGCTGAAGTCACTCTCGCCCTTCAGATACAGCTTATCGCTGGCTGAGCGTCCCGTGAGTGTGGAGATATCAGACACCCAGCGTCACCACACGCCACACGCATGTCTGTTTGCTCAGCGGCTCAGACGAAAAATTAATATCAGGCATGTTTGATGTAAAGGGCTTTCAGCCTGTAGCACAATTTTTATGCACCTTTTTTTTTTTTTTTTAATGATTGTTTTAATTTTTCTGGATTTTGTGTATTATGATTTAATATAAAATTATAATCAAATTAATAGCTGGCCAATTGTGTTCCTACAAATTATAACACATTTAACAGTTTTATCAATTCATCTTTTATCTATTTTATCACGTTTATTGGGCTGGATGTAGGGTTGGGTATCATTTGGGTTTTTTTCCGATACTGGTGCCAAATCGATACTTTTAAAACAGTTCCGGTGCCTGAACCGATACTTATTAAAAAATACATAAATAAAAATTCCCCAAAAAATGAGGGATTGGCCATTAGCACTATAAACACATGATGTCTGTTACACTCATACTGGACGCCAGAGGGCGCCCTCGCACAGAAAATCCACATATCCAGTCACAGAAGTAGAGAACTCATGACCCTCCAGGAAATCCCTTATATGGACAAAGGCATGGCTGTTATAGCTGTAACTGAGTAAACAGAACATATAAACGTTTTGAATGATAAAACAAAGACAATAAACACTCGACTGCGACAATAAAGTTTACCGTCTCTATTAAAGCCATATCTGCTATTGTGACAAGAAGCCTCATCAGATCACAAAAGGAAGCATTTGACTGGTGTTGTGGAGTAAAAAGGTTATAATGTTTAGAAATGTGAATACAAGGGAGGTTTAGCTTTAGGCATTTTAATTTAAGCATGTTTAGCTTCGTTAACAGAAGGCATCAGAGCAAGTGTAATTACTGCATTCACGCGCTCCTCGGATGCTCTCGTTTCCCGAGTTGTGCTTTTAAGTTGGAATGTGAAAACAACATGGACACTCGCGTTACTACAAAGATGTGTTGGATTTGTATTATTAGAGCTTTCCGACTTGAATTCACGTGCATTTTCTCAGTCGGGAAATTATTTTTCACGTGCGGTGCCGGTGATGACGCTTCTTACGTCTTACGTCTGCGTTCTGATTCGGCTCTAGTACATACCGGTTATAATCAGCCCTGCTCTGTTTAGTTTTTTCTCTCTTTTCATGCTAAAAATATACCATAAGATGCACTTTGTAGAAATGTAGCTCGTCCAACTGTCAGATCCATAAACAGATCTCGGAGACTTTAGAAATCTAGTGATCTGATCGTCAGCGTTCAGAGACTCTGAGATGTTGATGTGAAGCTCTAAACTCACATCTGGCTCCCATCAGCGGCTCTAGATGGCTCTACAGTTCCTCCAGGAGCGAGGCAGCCGTGTGTTTTGATAACCGTGAAGTCACACTTATTTTCGGCCTGTCCCGGAGGAAGAGATCACATGACCTCGGCTCCGGACACGGCTCTACAGTGGTTTCTAGTAGTTTATAATGCTTTTATTCATGCACCCGGCTAGGTTTAGGTTAGGTTTTTTTTCTTCTTTTTTAAACTCCGATGTCATAAGACTTCTCAATGTCATGCATATCATAAAACTAAAGAGTGCACTGCTATAAAAATTTCAATCTGACTTTCTCGCTCAAAGATCGCAATCCAGCTTTGTAATTCATCGAGATAATATTGTTCCCTGAAGGGGATTTCAAAAGCATTTCTACTTCCTGTTCTGTGTCCAGGCTGAAGAGCGTTTGGTACTGATGTGGGAGTGATCGGATCGGATCAGCGCGGCACTCCAATGATGAGCTTCACTAGAACTGTCCTGCACTGGAATGGACTGTGGCAAACATGTGTGTTGCCATGGTGATTATTCACACTAAAACACTGGAAAAGAAGGCCGTCGATGATGTAGCATCCACAGAGTCTCTGCAGCTGGTAAGACCACGGCGCTTCACATTAGAGACGTCAGGCGTCATGCATAATTTACTCCCTAATTATCAGTGCTGAGCTCAGGATTCTGCTCCAGATCCAAGCACATTCTGTTTAATCAGATCCATGACAGTCAGGCTTGTAATAATCCTCATTAGCATGGCTGTAGGTTTGACAGGTTAAATTGTTGGATTAATTTAGGAAACAATAACACATTGAAATACCCCATCCAGACCTGTCCATCATCTTACACTGATGCAGTTTCTGATGAACCTGATGCAGGACGGCTGACTGTTAGAATGCAGTTATATGTGACCCTGGAGCACAAAACCAGTCATAAGGTTCAATTTCTCGAAATTGAGATTTATGCATCATCTGAAAGCTGAATAAATAATCTTTCCATTGATGTATGGTTTGTTAGGATCGGACAATATTTGGCTGAGATACAACTATCTAAAATTCAAGATATGAGCACAAAAAAAAAATCACCCTCATATTTATATCATATGATATAGTTTAGAAATATCACATCAGCAAGAGTCCTGCTTTTCCCCGATATCTGCACCGTTGCAATTAATACAACAGTTAAATATAAAAGAAGTTCATATTGTCTTACATTTTAGATCAGATTTTGTCAGTTTAACTCATTTTCGCCAACAAAAGTAGTTCAGTCAAAGCCCCAGCAGAACTGTGAATGAATCCACCTTTTTGAACGAATGATTCATAGAGAGTCACTTGCTTCGTTTCTGAATGAATCAGCGATTTGAACGAATCGGTTGAGTGAATGACTAAATGACTCACTCACAAAGATAGTGATTCATATTTAGAGTATCGCTTATTATAACCCATTATTATGCAATAGTGAATCAGAATATTTCTTTCTAACGCTACTTTTTGTAATGTCTGCTCAGTGCTTTTCTGATTTAACACCATAATTGCTTTTAATTATCTTTTAGGGGGTCATTTCACAGCCAAAATTGTGTGGTTAATTTGCAATTAGATAAATCAATCGGCATTCATATAGTTAATTAGGTTAAAACTTTTAATTGCTTGACAGCACTAGTAATTTTATGACTTGTAGTAAGCCAGAAATGACTTTGTTTTCTGTATAGACACCCTGTCGTTGTGAAGCTGTTTGGCGTGTTTGAGTCGATCAGACTGATAATCTGTCAGACAGAGGATCCTCACTGCATGTGCGCTCTAGCGAGCTTTAGTTGTGGTTTACATGTGCACTAGTTAGAAGGCACATGGAGGGGTTTCCTGTCCCCGGTGTGCTTGTGTAGGACGCTCATCTGATCCATCTGTGTGTTTCTACAGCATGAGCCGCCGACCATGAGCCAGGGGACGGCCCTCTTCTCCTTTGGAATCATGGGTAAGTACAGATACACTGCAAAGTTGACTTTCTGTTCCCTTCACTGATTGGATCAGCGTGTCTTCACCTCCATGAAAGAGCGAAATAGAACGTGTGCTGCCCTCAACATCTGCTCATTTAGCTGGTACCCACGAGGCCTAGTTTCAGACGCCACAGGTGCGAGCGTCTCCGAGCTGAACGTGTGTGAGCAGCTCGATGTTTGTTCTGATACTCTTTGTCTCCAGAACGACTCCTCTCAGAAAACAGAGCTAGTCTTTGAGTGGAATAAACAGAGTTGACTGATCAATAGGGTTTTGTGCTGTGTGCCCACGGCCGGAGGATTTCTGCTTTTGAGAAACATGCTGCTGTTCTGATCCGCTGGGTGTGAACCTGAGCCACACGCTGCCATCTGAACAATCCCTGGACATCGTCAGGGCCAGGGACCCCCTCATAATTATATCAGTGATTAAGCAGATGCTTACTGTAATGTGCACACTTAGATGCCATTAGAACTTACATTTCTGTGGAATTTTTTTTCTGGACTCGGTTTTAATTTAAATAATCTAAAAGCATTTCTAATCAATTGCATATATAAAACTTTAACAACTTAATATTTCATTAAATTGTTACGATAATATGGCCAGATGGAATGTTTTATTTTTTCAGAAATACTGTGTTGTCCGTTTTAATTTTTCTGGATTTATGCATGATACATATTTATTATCAAAAACAAGTGGTGAGCAAAGCATTAACAATTTAATCTTTTAAAATGTCATCAAGTGTAACAATTCCTTTTAATTTTAACATTTATTAATATTATTACTACTACAACTATTACTTTGAGAAGTACATTATACTGTGCAGTAGTAATATATTTCTGTCACAATTTCAAATTAAACCAAACTCTTATTTTGACGGGTTGTCATGAAGACCTTTGAGTTTCTGTGCTTTTGTCAAATGAAATGGTCAAAATCTCATGATCTGAGTCTAGCAGCTCTGGAGATGTGGTTCATGTCCTCATATAGGGAATGGGTAGGGGCTGGGTATCGAGTTCGAATACTTTTTAGGCACCGACCGAATTGCCTCGATACCATTGAGTTTCAAAAAATGTCTTGTCGTTCGCTACCACATTTTGATACCTAAGGGGTTAATCTCGTCAACTTCAGTGAGCCAATAAGCATGCAGCATGGTTGATGTGCCTAAATCAAGTTTTTCTGGGTTTCTTATGCACAGAACGCTCGTCATCAGAGACAGGGCAGGATATGAACGCGTAATATGATTGACATATGAGCTTCCTCTGAGTCAGAACGGCGATCGCAGAAAACAGACTGAGAGCGCTGGAAGCAGCTAATGGTCATCCGTAAATCAGTGGAAAATTAATAGATATTATGATTCTAAGCTATGCTTTTTAAAACGAAAACGCACTAGTGTAAAAGTAGCCTAAAAGATGTGGAAACCGAAAACTATTTGAACTTTATTAAAACTATTTGCACTGATTTGTTGTGTTGGTTTCATCTTGTTCCTTTGTGCAGTGGCTCAGGAGATTCGTTTTTTTTTTTTTTGAGGTAATGTAATCTTGTTAAAACAAATTTCAGAAAATTGATATAAAAAAAAAATTATCGTTCAGGAACCGGTATTGAAGTCAAGGTATCGGTATATTTTTGAACGATACCCAGTTACGCATGCTGCAGTATGTGTAGTAGAGAAAACTTAGACACCGTAGAGTATAAGTATATAGTGTATAGTATGAGTTTTTAGTATAGAGTGTGAGTATAGATTATGTAATATTGAGTGTATGTAGTATAGCGTGGAAGTATAGATTGAGTATGTAGTATTGAGTGTGATTATAGATTAAGTAGTATAGAGTGTAAGTATAGATTATGTAGTATAGAGTGTGAGTGTGTAGTATAGAGTCAAGTCAAGTCACCTTTATTTATATAGCGCTTTTAACAATACAGATTGTGTCAAAGCAACTGAACAGCATTAATTAGGAAAATAGTGTGTCAATAATGCAAAAATGACAATAGTAAACACTCATTTTTCAGTTAAAGGCAGTTCATCATTGAATTCAGCGATGTCATCATCCAGCTCAGTTCAGTCTAACTAGGTGAAAGAGTCTCTATGTGCTGAGAATTAACTGATTTCTGTGACATGAGGCGGCTAGCAGACGGTCGGTTTAGCCAGTCTGTCTGCTTCCTGACCTGGGCCCCAGTTAGTCAAGTACAAACTCTAAGACTATGTGCCTATGTGTCTAAGACTAGAGTGTGATTATAGATTAAGTAGTATAGAGTGTAAGTAGATTGAGTATGTAGTATAGAGTGTGATAATAGATTTAGTATAGAGTGTGAGTATAGATTATGTAGTATAGAGTGTGAGTATGTAGTATAGAGTGATTTATAGATTTAGTATAGAGTGTGAGTATAGATTATGTAGTATAGAGTGTGAGTATGTAGTATAGAGTGTGATATAGATTTAGTATAGAGTGTGAGTATAGATTATGTAGTATAGAGTGTGAGTATGTAGTATAGAGTGTGATTATAGATTAAGTAGTATAGAGTGTGAGTATAGATTGAGTATGTAGTAGGGATGCTCCGATCAGGATTTTTGCAGCCGATAAAGAGTACCGATTTCTTGTCATGGTAAGTAACCGCTTCAAGCTTTATATAGACTGTTTCATCGGGCGCACGCGCCTGGCCCGAAGTTAACTTCCGGTCTGTGTTTGTTTATCAGTCTGGCTATGGCACCGGCTACAAACGCAGATAAAGTTAAGGTGATGAGTAGACTGAAGTTCTCAGGTGACTCAGGTGGTTGTGCTGTGGGATGTGTTTCCCATACATTTATTTATTTGTGGCGCTCGCCACAATATCAAAACTGACCGATTTTCCAAAAGGCTTCGCTGAATAAACATGAGCACGAATTTCGTGCGTGTTTGTGTGTGTTTGTTCGCCTGATCGGGAAGTTGCAGTGACACAAACAGTGACACATTCCAGATAAAGTTTGAAAGGAGTAAAGCCTGTGTTAATGCTATTGAGTAGGCTAATATGGCCAAAGAAGACATTTTGTTTTATAAATAAATGTTCATTTAAAAGCAGCCCACGATCAGCGTGTTATGTTTCCGTTATCCCTTACGGCTCTGACGAGGATTTGTTTCGTCCTCCACGCTGTGACAACTCACAAAACACTATTTTTAGCCAAGCAGCGCAGAGAGCCGCTTCAGAAATGTGCCGCGGCTGGCCGGTGTAAACACAAGCATTAGAGCGGCCGCGATCAGCTCCGGTTCCGTGGAGCCGTAACGCGCCGCAGACACGTGCAGTGAGGCGCAGATCAGATGGATGAACCATCCATTCATCATATCATCATGCAAAACATACACGACAAATAGCGAATTTTTCATTGTTGCTCGAAACGTCATAGCATTTCCACACCGGCAATGACATGACTGTGGCGCCAAATCATTTATGTCCCCACGCATCATGTACCATCCATTCATCATATCATCATGCAAAACATACACGACAAATAGCGAATTTTTCATTGTTTCTCGAAACGTCATAGCATTTCCACACCTGCGATGACATGACTGCAGCGCCAAATCATTTTATGTCCCCACGCATCATGTACGTTGTCACGCGTTGACGTCATCAAATTGCGATCAGTTTGTGAGATCGGCCAAGTTAGTGAGTACCGATCGAGTCATAAAATGTGATTATCGGCCAATACCGATCTCCGGCCGATCGATCGGAGCATCCCTAGTATGTAGTATAGAGTGTGATTATAGATTAAGTATGTAGTATAGTGTGATTATAGATTGAATATGTAGTATAGAGTGTGATTATAGATTGATTATGTAGTATGGAGTGTGAGTATGTAGTATAGACGAGTATGAGAGTGTAGTATGTCATGTTTCTCACGTCTCTGTTGTCCCCAATCACGTTTCATATTATTCTGAGTAACTTCATGATTTATCGCACCGCTGGCGATGTGTTTTTCGGCAGTAGTTGGTCAGCGGTCTCATGGGGTGCGAGTGATTCATGTTAAAAGCCAGTAACCAAAACACACTCTTAACACACAGATGTTCAGCCGTCTGGAAGCCTGCCACCAATCAGACGGCTCTATTTCTGGCTCTTTGTTTCTCAGGCACAGCTGTGTTGCTTGTGAATGTCTACAGGCTCTTCCTGTGAGCTCGACCCTCCTGCTTCTCTTTTGTTCGCCTCTGTTGTGTTAGAAGCGTCTCAGACTGGAGGTCGATACATTTACTGGAGCAGATCTGAGGTCTGTGTAAGCGCTCGGTGAAGAGTGTGAAGCAATGATCATTGTAGCCAATCACAGACATATCTGTTGAGCATGTGAACACAATGGCCAATCAGAGCTGTTTGAGAATCCGCTCAAAATGCCAGAGGGAAATGCTGGTATCGTCACATTTTTAAAATTTCAATACGGACATCGGTACTTTTGACAACACTAGTTTGGTGCATGTTGTCTCAAGCTAATCTCAAACTGTAGTGAAACGAAAATAGGGTTGTATGTATGCTGCTCGTGTGTAAATGAACACATTGCTGCGCTTCGCTCTGAAACACGCAGCACATGCATTTCACTAACTTCCAGCAGTTTTATTGCGATTCATCGTGTCTCTGATTCTCACGGCAGCTGTTGTGTGTTGTAGAGTCTGGACACTGGCCGGAGGTTGGCGGGGTGTGTGGCGTCCAGCAGCGGCCCGTGGGCTCCAGTCTGGAGAGTCTGTGGGACAGCGTGCGAGAGACGTGCTCGGCTCGTGAGGCGGGCGCCGCCGGTGGCATCAGCGGTCTGCTGCGTGACCTCAGTCTGAGCGAAGCGCCCTCTCCTGGCAGCGCCGCGCCACCCAGCAAACGCCAGTGCCGCTCGCTGTCCTGCTCCGGCGAGCTCGGCTGTCGCTCCTCGTGGCGGCCGCAGGGGTCGCGCGTGTGGACGGCCGTGGAGAAGCGCCGCTGCCACAGTGGGGGAAGCGTTCAGCGCGGCGCCTTTGCTCCATCCGGGTTTCCCGCCATGCAGCGCAGTTTCAGCTTCAGCCTGCCGACACGCATCAATCCGCCGGAGACCTTCAGCCACGGCTTCCCTTTCTCCGCGTCCCCGCAGACGCCACAGGCTCTCTACCTCTCGCACGAGCAGATCTGCCCCAACGAGTCCAGCTCGCCCGACTCCACGCCGGAGCTGGAGCGCCGCAGACAGGGACTCGCCCGCAGCCGGTCACAGCCCTGCGTCCACAACGACAAGAAGACCGGCGTGAAGCGGAGGAGACCGGCGGACTCTCACAAACACAGGCCTTCACTGGACCTGCTCAAGATGACACAGGTGTGTGTGTGCGCGCGCGTTTGTGTGAGATTGTGTGTGTGTGTGCGCGTGCGTGTTTGTGTGTGTGCACGTTTGTGTGAGATAGTGTGAGTGTGTGTGCGTGCGTTTGTGTGTGTGTGTGTGTTTGTGTGTGCACATGCATGTGTGTACCTGGTATTCAGTACAAGGATAGTAATACCAGTAAATTTTGACCTTGTGGGGACATTTTTTTTGCTCCCTATGAGGAAGCAAGCTTATAAATCATACAGAATGAAGTTTTTTGAAGATGTAAAACTGCCTGCAGTTTTGTGTGAGGGGTAGGTTTAGGGTAAGGGGATAGAAAATACAGTTTGTACAGTATAAAAAACATTACGCCTGTGGAATGAACCCATAAAACATGGAAACCTATGTGTTTGTTCCTGCATGATTACTGTGTTCATTGGGTTTGTAATGGCTTCTGTCTACTAGATGAGGATGTGAGGCTGTTTCTGTCTCAGTCTCTGTTGTAATAAACCCCGTACTAACTCCAGTGATGTTCTCTGATAAACCGCACGTCTATAGTCACTGATCACCTTCTTGAGGTCAGAGGTCATCCGGTCAATGCACTGTTTCCGGGAATAAGAACTGAAGCATTACATGAGCACAACCCTCTCTGTGTGTGTGTGTTTATCGTTTGCTGTAGCCACACACACACACACAATGTTGATGATTGTGTCAGTGGAACAGCAGCTCCATTTACAAACCAAATATTCTGTTTCTATGGTAACGAGGCCTGACCGCTGATGTAATGAATAAGAGCTGGTCAGTTAGTTGTCATTAGTGAAATATCAGACATGTGATTGGCTAATCAACAGAACAAATCCATCGAGACGTTTTTAACTTCAAACCATCACTTACGGCTAAAATCTGAGTCCATAATCCATAATAACGCTTCCTCCAGTGAAAAAGTGTTCTGGTGTGAATCAGGAGAGAAATCTGCACAGATCAAGCAGCGTTTAAACAGCTCTAAACACATATGAGAGACAACAGCAGATGCACTTTTTCACTGGAGGAAGCGTTATTATGGATTATGGACTCGTATTTTAGCCAGAAGTTTGATGTTGATGTAATTTCTGCACTTTAGACAGCATTAAAAACTGTCTTGGTTGAGCTGTAAAGTTGAGTTTGAGGAACAGTAACTCTGCTGCTGATGTCACGTGTGTTTCTGTTGTTAATGTCACCTGTGTGTGTGTGTCCCACAGAAGCTGCAGGACTTTCACAGTCTCAGCTGTCCAGGATTCACTGGAGACGAGCAGACGCTCCACGTAGAGGGTGACGTCACGCTTGACCAGCACCAGACCAAAGAGGACACCGTCATCCACCAATCAGAGGCCAGCTGGAGCGGCGGGAAGGAGCGTGAGTGTCTGTGGGCGGGGCTTTGCAGCCGGAGGGGGCGGGACTCATTCCAGCTGGGCGGAGAACTGGACATCGAGCAAATCGAGAGGAACTGAGATGATTCCCAGTATTCCCGTTGGATTATTATGGACGAGCGCTTCAGCGAGTGGACGCGGGACACATGTAATCGACTCAGGGTGAAGCACACGGAGAACGTCACGTCATCAGAACGTGAGCCGTGCCGCGTGTAAACACGCATGCATTTAGATTAGCAGGAGCCGACTTGAGAAACACTCGTGCTCTGACGTTCACACAGACACACTCTCTCTCACACACACACAGACACACTCACTCTCACACACACTCTCTCACACAGACACACTCACTCTCACACACACACACACACACTCACTCACTCACTCACTCACAGACACAGACACACACACACACACGTGTTAAAGGGCTTCAGATGTGTAACAGTAGTAATATCAGGTAATTGAGTTCCTCACTGGTGAAAAAAGCTATTAGATCTATTTTGTGTGTGTGTGAGAGAGTATGTGATAGTGTGTGAGAGAGTGTGTGTGTGAGAGTGTATGTGATAGTGTGTGAGAGAGAGAGTGTGTGTGAGAGTGTATGTGATAGTGTGTGAGAGAGAGTGTGTGTGTGTGTGAGAGAGTGTGTGTGAGTGAGTGAGTGAGTGAGAGAGAGAGTGTGTGTGTGTGAGTGAGAGAGAGAGTGTGTATGTGTGTGAGTGAGAGAGAGCGAGTGTGTGTGTGTGTGTGTGTGTGTGTGTGAGTGAGTGTGAGAGAGAGAGTGTGTATGTGTGTGTGTGAACCCATCGGGCCAAATGAAATATAACAACATGGATGAAGACTGTTAGAGTCTAACAGCAGCTTATTTCACTAGCTTTATGTGCGAGGGTTAAAAGTGGCCTTAATGTTTAGATGAGCAAATATGATCGTAAACGAGCCTGGAGAATCTGCTGCGTTAGAATAGAAGCGTCTGCTTTACATCAGCATCAGAGCTTTATTACACCTCGACTGGAAGAGCAAAGTGAGACTGGAGCGTGTTGTGAAACGAGCGCAGCTGTAAGAAACACAAAGACGTCTGTGTGCCTCGACCTCTGCTCCAGATCTCCATGATGCTGTTTGTTCTGCAGCGCTTCATGTCTGCCAGCATCACGCTATTGTCCTGAACGAAGCTCAAACACCAAACCGCATGAAGCAGTCACCGGAGCTCCAGCAAACATCACGAGATATTCTGCGTTAAGATAACGAGACACGAAGAAGATAAGTTTGCAGTGCCACAGTTAAGGCACATTTATTTATCAGCAAATTCACGATTATTGATCATGGTGAATGTAAATTCAAAACAACCATAGTGTGAATATTAGGAGGATTAGCATTCATGGAAATACACAAAAAGACTTGGTAACACAATCTAAAGCCTTTATATATAATGCATTATAAAGTAGTTTTAATGCACTATTTCTGCCTTGTAATGCATTGTATGATCTCATAATAGTAACCACAGTTATAATACTCATCTAGTCATTGCTACACCTTTAGGAAGTGCAATGCATTAAAACACATGAATATAATGCATTTTAACTTTGGCTACATTTATTTATGCAAAGATACAATGCATTATCCTGTACATTATGAATACCTTTATAATGCATTGCACATGTTCACAGTTTTCTTCATGTGTCAGTGCAGCTTCACAGTCAGTGCGTCATCGGTCACGAGTGTCATGTCCTGATCGGTCAGTGATTGGTCAGTACGGCGGCCGCGAGGTCGTGCACGTAAGCGTCGGCTCTCACGCTCGGCCTGCGGGACAGAAAACACCAGTCAGAGACACACTGCAGGAAAGAACCAGAGTTACTGTGAGGTCAAAGGTCAACCGGAGTCAGGTCAATCACAGGCTCCATGACGTCTCAGATGACCGTCACTGGATCTGACAGAGTGACATCAGATCTGAGCTGGTCCCTGTATTCACTATTAAACACAAACTCTAATCTGGAGTCATTAGCAGCAGTTCCAGCGCATTAACCCTTGCTGGTTCAGGTGATGGATCACAGTTACAGTGAACGATCGAGGCCTGATGCTTGTGTGCTGGCGTGTTCAGATGTTTACAGCGAGCGTCTTATCATCTCAGATCAACAGGAAAGACGGGCTCATTTGCAGCAGTGGGCGGCTGCGGAGAGCCTAATGATGTGTCAAACTCACTTCCTGCACAGACGCACTGCATGCTGGGAATGAGCACTGCTCTCAGGTCCATTAAATGACCAGAGGAAGGGGCGGGACTTATAGAGGGTTCAGTTGTTCTGATTGGGGGAGGAGCTCTGGGGAGGTCATGTGACTGGATAGAGTGTGACGTCACATGATCATTTCAGCTGAAAACGATTTTACACTAGCCTTAGAAAATATAACCTGTGGTATTTGCAAACTACTGTTTTGTATTATTTGATTAATAACATAATAATGATGAATAAACGTATAAATTAATTAATATAAATTATCTTATTTATTATTTAATAATGATTTATTTATAAATAAATTATTCCTTTTTATATTTGTTTCTTTAGTTTTTGTCAGTCTTGGATTTGATCCAATTCTGATTTGTTGTTTCTTGTTGAAAACAGTATTTGTGTCATTTTGTTGATTATATTTTGTTGTCAGTGTAAGAATCTGCTGAAGAGACTGCACTCACTGGACTGCAGCGCCACCTGCTGCTCACACACAGATCATGCAGGAAACTAATTCAGCTCGATTTCTATTGTGCCTTCCAACACACACTATTCCACAGCAGCTTTAACACTCACTCACACACACACACTCACTCACACACACACACACACACACACTCACACACACACACACACACTCTCACACACACACACTCACACACACACACTCTCTCACACACACACACACACACACACACACTCACTCTCTCTCACACACACACACACACACTGACCTGTATTTGCCGGTTCTGACCTGAAGACCCTTCATCCCGCAGCGCTGAGCTCCACCGACATCATTGAACAGATCATCACCAATCATCACAACCTGACACACACACACATCAAATCAACAAATATTCAATTAATGTGTGTGTGTGTGTGTGTGTGTGTGTGTGTATGGGGGGAGGGGGGGAGAGAACACGTGACTGACACTGATGTCGAAGCCCATCACACGCAGCTTCTGCAGAACCTCTCACGCGTGTTCTGAGTCTCATTAGTGCAGAAACGCACCGTCAGACCGGAAGCCATCAGCCTGACACACACACTTCAGAGCACACAATACTACTCATACTGCACACTGCACCACATATAGTGCATACTGCATACTTAGTGTTTATGCGAGGGTTGTTTTATATTTTTATACATTGTGTTTATTTATTTGTCTGATCAAATAATGAGTCAAGAATGATGACAACTGACATTACTTTCATTCAGCACACTGAAAATTGTGGGATACTCAGTACAGAATAGCATACTAAATCACATCATGTCACATATCAAATAAAGATACAGCAGAAATAGAAAGACTAGTTTCCCAATTCAGCTAAGGGATGTATACTTAAGATTTTGGCTAATGTAGTATGCATACAGAAAGTTAGCATACTATGAACAGTATGTAGAGAGAGAGAGCACTAAGTATGGTAGTATGCAACCATTTCGAATCTGTTCGATCTGTTATGCAAGACTCTTGTCAATACATGGTCAACTGTATTGAAATTCATATATTATTATATGTTGTTATTATTATGCAAAGCAATGAAAGTGTCCTGCAATATTTAATGAATAACTTTATTTTGTAAATCGCGCGCTAGTTCTCACCTCCTCACTGCTTCTCCAGATCCGTGTATCGCCTGTCCTCCTCTCTCTCCGCTATCATACAGAACTCCACATGTCTAAAATAACTCCTTTCACACTCTTCAGCCACTCCACACTGCTGCCTGCGGCCATGCTGCGGACGCGACTGCGCATGCGCGGCGCAGGGGCTTCTGGGAAATGAAGTTCAGCCGCTTAATGCCGGAAGCGCGCGCAGATGCTGCTGACCAAAGATAAAATAAAATAAAAAATAAAATACACAAGGATGTTTTTCGTATGTATTCGATGATGATGATCATAATAATAATAATAATAATAATAATAATAATACTTATATATATAAAATTAATTTATTTTTAAATGTATAACTTTGCCCAAACTACATTTGAAATAATATTGAAAATTTATGTTTCAAGCACTTTAAATTGCTTTACTGTCTGCCAAATTAATAAATGATTACTGTGTAGAATACAGTGACAATGTATTTTAGACAATATTTGGCCAAAATTATATCAGGGGAGATGAATAACTAGTGTTGCGTCACACACTTTGAGTCTGTTCACACACTCAGTCACTTCAGATTAATCACTTACAGTCGCAATAAAACTATTACAGTATCAGAATGTTTTTACATTTATGCAGAAAATGGTTAACCATTCACAGCGCTGAAGCCGGTTGCGTCATGACGCAGCGTGACGTGTGTGCGTGTATTTGAATAATCCGTCTAGAGGCAGCGTGAGACTCGCTGGAGGCACAGAGTCGATCAGCGCGGACCCGCAGCAGGTAAAGCACACACATAAACACAGAAACCCGCGTTACAGCCGCGTACAGACATACGGGTCAAACACACACCGCGCGGTTATTCATAATGCAGCGAGGGCTGATGAATATCCATAAACACGAGTATGTTAATGAGGCGCAGCAGTTAGGAAGAGGAAGATGATGAGGGTTAGACTGATGAAGGTGAGGAAGATGCAGATTCGGTGGGAGTTTATTCAGTGATATTCAGATACTTTATGTTAGTAATATTTAAATGTATTTAAATTGTTACTTTATTGGTAACTTCTCTTGACTGCTGTGTAACTGTATTCATTCTAAAGACCTGTGTGTGTGTGTGTGTGTGTGTGTGTGTGTGTGTGTGAGAGAGAGAGAGAGAGAGCGAGAGAGAGAGAGAG